TGAAAGAAACACAACAACTTTATACATTCATTGAAGACCGAATATACTTAGAGAAACCTGAGATTCCGGGCCTACCAGAGAGCGGTGGTCAGTATGAACTGCTGTTAGCTTCGGTGGATCGTGGGGATCTGAATGACGGTTCTGCGAAAATCCAGCACACATATGGAGACCATTCTATCCACCTGGAGAAAGTTGTGGAAAGCGTTGCGGAGGCCACGAAATACGCCCGGAGCGGTATGCCCACAACTCTAGGTCAACATAAACAGAGTAATTAATTCAATATAGATGTGACTCCTCTCGCCTCAAGAACTTGAGCTATTCAGAAATTCTCGGAGAATGGTGCTAAGCTGCTGGATGGTCGAGTGCGACTATTAAGGTGAGATAGGAATAAAGTAACCTTAATCTGACTTTCTCCGTAGTGTCTGGTTGTTGATGTCTATCTTGGTTGGGTCCTGGATGCTGGAATTCAGGTGATGGTGCAGGGAGATGGTGCGGCCAACTGTTCACCAGCCCTGGGTTGGTTCTGTTGGATCCCCTAAGGTATCTGCCATGATGTGTGAAGGTGTGGGCAATGGCAGATTAGATCTCATAACATTTTGGTGAAATTTTTGTTGAGGTCAAACAGTGGTGGGAATTGCCAATTAGTATGCTGGAGCACTTTGTTTAGGTTAGGTTCAAAGAAATAAGCAAACAACAGAAGAAACATGCGAATGAACGGCTTGTAGAAGAAATCCAGAAAGGGATACAAGGGAATTATAATCATAGAAGCTCTCATCGAGACGGGCACTATGGCGTGCCGAGATGTGGGCTTCTACTCCATGTTAAAAATTCTATGGATCCAAAGAGATTAAACTATGACACAAATGAGCCTTAACAATTTCTTCTCTTCCCCTCTCTCATTTACTGAAAAAACATTACTTGTAAGCCACAGAGATAGATACCTATGTACACATATATAGACATACTTTTCAAGCCTTGGAAGCCTGATTTTATCTCTTCATTTTGGTGTTTGGGGGAATAATAAAAGAGAAAATCATTTCAGTCCGAAAAGGAAAGATTGTTTACAAAGGCCCACGTGGAAACGAAAGGACTGGGGGCGATTTGGGACCACAAGAGTGACACGCTGAGGCGAAATGGCCGGAAGATATTTCACGCAGCTGAGATTAGTTGAATTGTTCCTTCTTTCTTTCCTTTTGATACATATAAATATGTAAATATATATATATATATATATTTATATCATATATATCAGGAAATCAGAAGGAATAGGTCGGGTTGACCGATAAGCAATAGCAAGATGCGTACGTCACTGAAGGGGCGAATGAATGTATCAAATTCCAAATTTAGGGTTTTGGGATAGAAGCGCAAAATGAAGGGGAAGAGCGCCACAATACCGAAAAGCATTGATGAGCCGAATTAATAAAGAAAAGGAAAAAGAAAAGCAGAGAACCCCACTTAGCTCACGGTATTCAATACAGTAAGATGAAGTAAAAGGGGCAGCAAATTTGAAAAAAAAAAAAAATAAATTAAAATAAAAAGATTTTTGCCAGCATATCTCAGAGTGGGGCGAGCGCATAGAATTGAATAATAGAATGTGGAATGAAAGGTGATATTCGCGGCGATGGGCGGGCTAACTCCAATTAGATAAGAAATTTCAAGAGGGCAATGTAGTGGTGGGCAGCGGGCGTGTCCGGCGGAAATTGGTGGAGATGGTGGGATGGAAAATATCGCTGTGACTAAAATGGGTCTAGCATTGTACGGAGGTTTTTCTTACGTTGGAAGGCCGGGGGGGGGATTTATGTCATTATATGTTGAACGATGAATATGAGATAGCGGGGAACCCGCAGAGTGTATCGTTACCATGTTGTTTGTTGTTTGTTGACAAGGATGTGGGCGTAGCAGCTTGGTAGGAGATATTTTCGTCTATGCCAACAAAAGCTAAGCCGAGCAGTTTATAACTTCTCCGTCATCCCAGTCATTTCAACGTCCTTCGGCATTGCAGGCACAGGAACGGGTGGTTTGCTGTCAAACACTATTGGTGCTTGATCTGATGCAGATGCCGGTTCATTTCGTGGGGGCTTGGGTCGGCGTAGCTTTTCGCACCAGCTTTCCGCGCTGACGAGGGTATCATTGACCACACCACTAACCTGGGCCATCATGTCCAATCCTTCCTCTGCAAGAACTAGAACCCGTTGTGCGCTAGTTTTCATATCGGCTTCCGTGCCAGAACCACCTCCGGATGTAGTAATGGTAGATGCAAGCCGAAAGCGTTGAGGGAGGGACGTGAGATGTCTGCGGACAAGAAGTCGTGCATTTTCCGGAAGTGCGCCGCCTGCATATTTAGAGACCACGTCTACGACTTGCCTAAGGGTACGCAATATATCTCCTTTAACATGTTGAATCTGCTCGAAAACGCGAGTGGAATTGCGTGATGTTGCCTCGGAAATCGCAGGGTCATCCGATGGCTGAGCTCTTTTGGAAGCATCAGACTCTTCCAGAACCTTTTTCAAGGATACAATCGAGTTCCCCAGCCGACCGTTCGCCCATCGAAGCCAGCTTAGACAATAAGCCAGGCTGCGGAGGGACTCCTCGCTCATAGCAACGCCAAGACCGGAGGTAGAGATCATAAGCCGACTCTGCCAGGTAGATTGGTTGTTGTTTTGTAAAGTTTTCTTATCCAACTCCGCCAGCTCTTCATACTTAGGAGACGAAAGATTGTCATATGGTGGGAGCGACTCTGCAGTGGACGATCTCCTCGTGTGGGATGGTGTAAGTTCAGCCATCGCCCGCTCAACATCCAGCATGTCTGTGTTGGTATTTCTAATCTTCCGCCGTTTGTCAGGAGTCTCTGAATCGACGGCTGTGTCATCGCCAGCCCGTCGTCTTTGAAGTGCCCAACGGATACCCTCCTCGACACCGGTTTTCTTGCCGACGGAGCCAACTTTCTTCACCACCGGAGAACCGATGTTCCGTTCCAAAAATTCGGCTCCATACTTGAACCTTGGTGAGTAAGACTTGGAGGATGTATAGACAGAAACGGAGCTGTTTATGGCAGAAGAAAGAAGAGGATGAGATGAGGTGAGGAGAGATAGTAATGGCTCTGGCGCTTGCGGTTGCGGTTTCGGTTGCTGCCCAGGTGAGGATGTTGTTGGCGGGGATGACGGGTCAACGCTGCGAGACGATGCCGGGGAGTGAACAAAATCTATGCAAAACCAACAGATATGATTAGAATTATACCATTGTAGTTCGTTTGATGATATTCACCAACACAAACTGACCTGTTCGAAGGCCTTCACAACGCCTGGGCCGCCTCGATATCGTCCATCGACAGTACACTCGTAGCCCTGCGACTTCGTCCCTCCTTATCCATGTCCAGCTGAGTAGGGCAGCTTGAGACTGCCATTCTGGTAGTAATCGGGAGAGTGGTATTTAGCAATCCGGAAGAGGCAGTGGTAGCAGCATTTGTCTGGTTAGACTGAGCGATGCTGTCAGGATACGGAGGAAGTGCAGGATGAGGCGAATCCCGGATTTGCGATATCATGTTCGACTGACAAATCGTGGCGTGGCGTGGTTGATAGGTAGATCTCTGTGATACCCAATTCAAGCGACTTGAATGCGACAGCTGCTTGGAATGTGACGGGGTCAGTTACCAATTAGGTTATAGGAACGGCGATGGCTTGACACCGAGCCCCGTTGGACTCTATCGAATTGTCAACGGAATCGAGCCTTTGGTCCCTCGTAGAAGGGATGAATCAACTCCAGGATCGTAACGGCCACTAACACACGCATACACACACACACATACACAAAAGCTGCCAGTTCGGATCTCAGTAGAGGGAGAACATTCCAGTTGATTCTGTTGAGGAGACGGTGCAAGGCGATGTTGAGAATTCCCCCCACACCAAAATCGGCTTGACGGGGCCTGACATGTGACTGCTGCGGCTGCGAATCAGCGTCAGACGCATTCCCAAGGATTAGCATGTGAAAGGCCAAAGATGGCCCAATCAGCGTTGGGCAGACTCAGGCTAGCAAACTCTGCAAACACGTGCTGCTAGCTGACTACTCGCCTTCCTGTCTAGGAATAGCGTGGCACCAAGCCTCTTGATGCCATTCTGATGATGATTTCACGGGTTACTAGCACAAGGAGGAGTCCTCCTGCTGCGTGGTGTCTGGGAAGCTCAGGCGGGACTACCACGAAACTACTGCAATGACGGGACATCGTGAGCAGTTACAATATCATGAATGTGCAGTATGGAAGGAATGGGAACTGAGAGGTTTGTCCCACACATTGTAACTATTGTCAGTGCTGACATGTTTTCTCAGTTTATTAGCTATTATTTGTGAGTGTCTCCCGCAGCGAGTTATCCCACAGAAAATAGGACTGCTTGCGAGCATTTCCCGATCGTCTTCCTGGGCTTCAACGATTCTCGTCTTTGCCTTGCCAGGTCCCTTTCTCCAACCCGGCAAGGTGTGGCCCCATTCATCATCATCAATCCGAGGGTCACCATCTACCATGCATTGGAGCCCACCCCATGCGGAATTGTTGCATTCGATCTCGATTTATTTGGAGACAAGCATTCAGAGCCAGGTAGTCAGTTCTCATGCCTAGTAAAGTCTTTGGTTACTCGCCCTCTAAACGGTCAGGCCCTGGTTTCAGGTGATGATAACAGTCGCTCGAATTGATTAAGTTGGCCACGAAAGTCTTGACAGAATCTGTAGGCCCATGTTGTGCTCGCACCTTAAATCGTACAGTAAAGCCATAAGTACTTGCACATAACGGAATGACGCATAGTAAATGGTGGGTATTTTCATGCTGTTAATAGTAGGAAGTAGCTTCCAACTCTGGACCATGAACCACGTATATCCCAAAAATGCTAGGCTAGATACAACCAATAGCCAATCAAGTTCCATGGAAATGATTCAACAAATGCAGTTTCCAAATGGTTACCAAAAAATTTATCGCTGAGTATTCTTATATATCTAATGTGGGAGATTAACTACTATTCACAGCCTCCGCAAAAGCACTGCCCTGCCATGGACCAGAGTGAATTCAAGCGGATAGTTTTTGCTCGCGCTCCATCAGCATCGTACGAAACCATGACGGTGCTATCTTCAAATTGTAATGCACCAGGCCAAAAAGCATCTGCCTCCTTAACAACTTGGGGAGGACTCCAGCACATCTTCCCATCCTTTGGCGGACCTGAAAACGTCGCTTTAATGTTTGCCTTATGCGGCCAGCTGCCCTCGATGTCTTCATCTGCCATATACACAACTACCAAAGATCCATCGGCAAAGGAGGCTATTTGTGGTGCTCCGGCATTTTTCCCTATTGGAGCCGCCTGCACGTCCTGCCGATGGCACCAGCTGGCTCCGTCATCATAAGATATAACGGCTTTGACATTGAAGAATGGCACGTTATCCGTTGTTTCAAAGACCATGACAAGGGCATCCCGGTTGCCGTCTTTCGTTTTCGCGACCCCTGTCATCCCGTCTCGTTGTTTTGGCTTCCAAGAGACGGCTTTCGGAGTTGACCAGGTATCGCCCCGGTCGGTTGACGAGACGAGCATCGTCCGTTGTTCATTCGCCGCAAACTCTTGCGAGTAGGTCAATTGGATTTCATTCGGGTTATTTTCAGCAAGTCTCATAAATGGCTCCCAGGCGCCCAAGTTCCCATCCATCTCAAATGCTTGGGACGCAAATTTCCAGTCTTTCCCGCCATTCGTTGACTTGCAGACGGTGATGCGTGAGTGTATCAGGTTGGGGCCGATGCTGGTATGGTTTCGGAATGCTCCGAGGACGACAGAAGGTGCCACCTCAAGCAGGTATATGTTGCCGATGTCCCAGTCACCTCGAGTTATTTCTCCGAAGGGTAAAAACCCTTTATCACCATTTGTGCGCTTGGATGTTTTTATCACTTTGACCCCTCCCTCATCGGTGGTAAATCCGGCTAGAACAGAGCCATCGGAAAGTTTGGCCAGGCGCACATAGCTCGCAGGGAGGTTAGATATATTTATCTCATCCCCAATAACGAGCTCGCCCCGGATTTTATCGAAGGGTGATGATGGTGTGGCTAAACCAAAAATTTGCATAAATTTCGATGCTAGTTTCATCATAAATCAGAATACATAATCAGAAATACGGATATGCTTTACCGTTTGGCTTTGGTGTCATGTTGTGCGGCGTTGATACCCTGTCGCTCACAGGATCCAAATCTCTCCGGCAGATCGCTTGTGCGGCGCAAAAGTTTAAGTCTTAGCACAAATCGATTTAGAATAACAATGCCAATATTATTGACAATGAGCCCCCATCTCCGCAATATACGTATCTTATCAGCTGGCGAAAATCAGTTTACGCATTAGAACTCATCATGGAATGGCGGTTCACTGGGATGACGTCATCAGTTACCGCATAGTTAGTTATCTGACTATTGGAAGTTGTGCGTCCAACAGTTGAATATGTTGGTTTGCTCACAATCTCACCACTATACACTGTGACCGCCAGCCGCAGCATAGTGCGGAACCACAATAGTATCAGTTAATGATTGCTAATAATAACCGCCAGGCAAGTATCCAAATAGTGCTGATGTGACTAGTGAAGCTGGTAGATATGTAGTACTAATCAATTATCTATATAAGGGAGGGTGATGTCAGTCGGCAGCTGGGTCAGAAGCGTAACACTGAGATGTATTCGATCCTAGTACTTCTAGTACCCAATTCATACACATTCCACTCCATTGAATAATGGCGAAACCTACAGTTGTTTTCGTTCCTGGCGGGTTTCATACGCCAGCCATTTTTGATCCCGTACTTCCATTCCTCCACGCAGCTGGTTATCCAACCGCTTCAGTTTACTTACCTAGTGTGGGTGTTTCCCCTGGAATTCCGGACCTCTCACCAGACGTTGAAGCAGTTAATCTTGTTGTCGGTGGACTTGTAGCGTTGGGACGTGAGGTTTTGCTTGTTGCACACTCTTATGGTGGCGTGCCCTCATCGGAAGGACTTCAAGGTCTCAGCAAGCAGGAGAGACAGGCCCAAGGGCTGGCCGGTGGTGTCGTCAGCATGTTATTCGTGTCGGCGCATCTGCCCCAAAAGGGGAAATCAGCCATAGAAAAAGAAGAAATCAATCGCTGACCATCCTCGTTCCTAGGACCCGACGGCATTGCTTCCCGAAAACCCAATTGAGGCCTTCTACCATGATCTCGACCCGGCGGTAGCTAAGTATTATGCGAGCTTATTAAGACGTCAATCTGTGGGGTATGCCAAATATATTCATCCAGTCTCCAAACCTCCTCCCTTTTGGTCACCTTTCTAACGCGATTTTCAAGTCCGTTCCTCTCGCAAATCACACACGAATCCTATCGTCAAATCCCTACTTCATGCTTGCTGCTTTCGAACGACAGAGCCGTCTCCTTGGCGAGACAAAAGCGTGTGGCAAAAAATGCTGGCATCCAACAGCTGCTTGGGCCGATAAATTGCGGTCATTCTCCATTCCTATCGCATCCAGAAGAAGTCTCGAAATTCATTCGGCAGGTTGCTGGAGAAACTTAGTCCTGGCCTTTCAGGGTCAACCACAGTATCAGTGAGGCAATTCACAGGAAACATTGTCTCTATCAGCTCGCTTAAATATATTCAGATGTAATCTGTTTTCTATTGTCGATGTTTCCTAGAGATGTGGCTGCTTGGAACACATCCATGTAGTTGATAAAATTTAACAAAATGGAGACAAACCAAATATTCGCACCTCTCGACTTTTCCACTTAACCACAATTCTGCCGGCCCCGTGAGCCTTGATATCATGTGTATGTGTGTATCCTACCTTGTAATTTCTCTGTCAAGGTTATCCCTTCAAAGAGTTCACATATATCTAACTAAGCCTTCTTAACCCAGATCCTCTACTGTGTAAACGTGTCATAATGGCACGGCATTTGATAGCGCAACTACTCAATCAAAAGCATAAGCGTTCGGTTTCAACTTTTCGCGGCCTCCCTGGGATCAGACCCGGAGCCGAAGGATAAACTCAAAGTCCATTCGCTTGAAGAACTGCCTAGGTGTGAAGGAGAGAATATGCGGTGGAAGTTGCAGAAGCATGAAAGGCGAAAAGAGCACCCCTAACGGGCGGATTGGTCGTCAAGTTCTGATTTTGTCAGCAGCAAAATGTTTTATCCGACATCTTAACCCTATAACCCCTAGCCAAAAAATTACGTGGTATATGCTAGGGCCACCACCCTTGGAAAACAAAAAAATATCATACGGAGACTCCATCCTACAAATCCGATGGGCTCCTTGACTTCTTATTTACTGTCAATAACAAGGGCTCTTTAAAAACCAATCCAATAATAAAATTTGTGCATGTGGGCGCAAAAATAGACTATCCTCAAAAGAAAATATGAAATGGAAATATGTGTGCATATGGGAAATACGCTTGACAAACAGAAGTCAAAAATAGATCGATGCTCCATCCAAAATTGTACCATGTGGTGGACCTCTAATATCAGAAACCAAAAGCACGATAAAGTAGATAAAAAGAAAGAAGAAAGAAAAGAAAAAGGAGGAGGAAAGGAGAGGCAAGAAGGTGTGAGAAATGTAATTAAACAAATAGGACATTCGACTTCGATCTAGAAGACCAGGTAAAAGTATGGTTTCCAGCACCTACCTTGGTCTCTTCATGGGGAGCTATTGTGAGATGTTGTGTCGTCGATATCCCTCTCCAAGTCTTCTGGGAAAGAAAACGGATCGATATCGAAAAATTCATCATCATCATCATCATCATAATCGTCCTCGCCCCCGCCCTCATCACCACTCAATTCACCTGCATTCCGCCTCATAACATCCTCTGCTACCCTCTTGGCCACATTGCGGTTCACATGTAAGACTTTATGGATATTCGGCAAAACGATTCGACACTGCCCCATGGCCTTTGCTTTAATTTCGCAAAGGACTGGGCCAACTGCATACCACACGAAGTCCGATCTGCAGTCCTTGTACGCACATAACGCACGGAGCCGTTCCCATTCGTAGGTACTATTCGCCCATGTGTGGCTTAGAGGGTGGTCAAAAGTGGGAGGAGTAAGCTCCTGTAGGCTTTGAGCCGCCTCAAGGATCTTCCTGGCGTATGGTATTTCGCTATTCAGGCCGTGCTGCCTCTCCCAGTTGATTTTCTTGTCTCTGAATCTCTTTTTAATATCGTTCAGAGCATTGTATAGAACTGGGTTCATTTCATTCTTTTCCTGAATTCCCCGTTTTTCCACCTTACCCCATTCGGATAGTAAGTCGTGATCCAAAGGGAGTTCGCAATGCTCGCTGCAGAATTTGTCGAACCGGACTAGCATTTGATCACTTTCGGCCACAATAACATCGAAAAGTAGATAATCGATGATATTGCAGCTGTTCCACACCAGGGGTTTGACACCTCTAGAAAGAGACTTGTAAGCAGGAACTAGCGGTTGCTTCTCAGTAATTACCTTTGAGTATTTTGGTCTTAAACACTCCCAAGTATCATCGGTCAGTTCCAGCCCGGCCTTCTTGCTATCTACTAGATAACTAAGCAGCCAGGCCAACTTAACCGCCATAGGAGAAGTAATGTTATTTTCGTGGTAACAATATGTTTCACGCTCGATGGTGCATTGTCCTAGTTTCGACGGTTTTATATTGAATCGAAAGGCATTGGTTAGGAACTCTTCTGTAGACCCTATTTTACTCATCAGGGTTGAGCAGGAACGGAGTCCAAGACTTTCGGCTGATGGCACCGTTCCTGGATCGAACTCAGTGCTCTTGAACTCGCGCACAATAATTGGATCCCAGCAGACCCAACACTGGTCTCCGTCATAATCGCCCCCAGAGAGCAGTGAGGCAAGTGGTGTATCTCCAGTAGTCGGGAAAACTATGACATCCTTCATATGTCGTAGCTCATTTTTGTAAACCGACTTTCGTTTTTGGATATCGGTTGCAAGATGAGCAGGCAAACGAGCGAGAAGAACATCAATGTCGTGGAGTTCCGTACCGGCAGATCCATGTTCCCATTCGCGAGAAAACCCAAGATGAACTTCATCTGGTCTCAATACTCCGAAGGGATCCGCAACGCAATATGCGAACGTTGATTGAGAGACTGTGATCTTTAGTTTTTTAAGGTTATCTAGATAATCTTGAAGCAGTCGCCTAAATATCTTAGTTAGATACGGAAGTTTTAATGGTAAGAAGCCAGCATCCAAAAGCATGATTGCCTGTTCCGCATATTGGGATGGGAAAAAGTTGTCGGCACGCTTGGACTGCCGTTTGGAACTCTCATTAGTGATCCATTTCATTTTCTGCAACCAGCTGCGACACTCAACACCACTGGAACACAAAAGGGTTTGCAAAAATTCATCATAAAATGAAGACATTTCTTGTCTAATCAGATTTCTGATATGGTCATTGCGGATTCCACCATGTTGAAGAATATTGAGGAGCTGCATATTCAGCGAAGCAGGACTGAGCGGCCGCGACCATTGAACGACTTCAAACGTCAGTTGCGGTTCATCCATGGGCTTTGTATCATGCGGAGGGGCGGGATGTATTTTGAGCTGTGACTCGGTAATTTGAAGCCAAAACCCTCGGTCACCAGTCTTAAATCTTGAGTCGTCAAGATCCACCATCCATACCCCTTTTGCGCCGGAAATTCTTGCTTGGAAAATAGCCGGGTGGCCATCCAGGCCCAAAGCGGAGGCAACTGCCATTCCCAGCGACTTAGACATCAACGCGCAGCCATCATTCATTACCGTTCCCGGAGGATCCTTGACATAAATGATTTCCTCCCGTCGTAGGATTACCGTGGCCAATGTACGGGATAGTCCAAGGTGGAGCCTCTGGAAGAGTTTCATATCAGATTGATGACTGTTTTTGGCTCTAGGCATGTGCCAATCAATCAATGCGTCGATACTCATACTAGTGCGTTGCCCAGACGTTTCGACGTGCGGAGGAATATCCAGAGGGTCTCCGGCTTTACGAAAATCGATCCCATCAGTGGCAAAGAAATACGCCTTTTGCTTGTGAGGAATTTCTATTGCGCTCACTCCAGCTCTTATTTCTCCACTATCATATTTTTTCGCCTTTTTCTGTTTATTTTGAATGTCTTCAAGATACAATACCTTCCAAACTCTCCCCACTAGATGGTGTTCACTGGTCGCCATCCAACGCGAAATCGCGTCGATCAAAATATCCTTTTCCACCGCATTTCCTTTTCGAACAAGATGTGCTGGTGGCTCTGTCAAGATGGGGTACGTCAGTTCAAGGAATCGATCCGAGCCAAATCGTCGGCAAAAACGGTAACCCCTCATAAGTTTCAACGGCTTCAAATTAAGTTTAAAGTAGCCTGGTTCTTTTTGCGAGCACCATGTCAGTTCGCAGCTCAAGGTCACCACATCTCCAGTCAATTTCCTGTCCTTATATTGGTCAACTGCCATATCCCATGGCTCTGGAGCTGTTTTCTCCAACCTCTCCTGCTCGCCATTATGAAGAGACTTCCAGAAATCTTCATACTCAGGTAACTTCCGCCTATCTAATTTCTGAAGGATATTCTCAGCGGGGACTTTAAAAAAATTGGCTGCTCTTTGCGCTTCATATCGGTACCGTAGGGGGACAGTGGTTTTAACCACGTTTTTGTTAGAAAATGGGCCCTTCTCCTCCAAATCCTGTATAATATTGCGAATCTTTTGCTCCCGCCAATCAAGATCTGCTTCCGGTTGCATTTTTGTATTTTTGGACGGACTTGTTGTGTTTGCGTTGCCCCATAAACCCGAGAATTTGGCATCTGGTGGTGGCCTGGCGGTGGAAGAGTATGTGGATGCCTCATTCAAATCAAACTGCCCCGTCTCGAAGCTCCGAGAAAAGGAGGTAGCTGGAGTACTGGCTCCGAAACTAGCTCCAAATGAGTTCGATTGTTCTGTAGTGACTGTTTGAAAGCTCGTATTTTCATTATTTAGAGGCTTCCCAGAAGGTGAAGAGACAGATTTCCGGACATTTTTGGAAGTCGTCATGTATTCATCAATCCTCCGTTGTTTTGGAGCCTTTGGTCCCTGGTTATTGTCGGAAGAATCAGCCAAGCCCAATGAAGGAATATCAAGATTGATATCAAGGTCATCCAGATCGGAATTCTCAAATTCATCGTCAGACGACGATGACATCATGTGAAGCGGATTGGAAGGAGTACTGGGAGCAGTCGAAAATACCTCTGAATGATCAATAACTTCCTTTCTTTTAGTTGGGGAAGGTGGCATCTTGGCAGGTGTTGTTGGCGGAACTTTGGGGGCGCCGTTTGATTTCGTTCCGGATCCTGCCATTGGATCCCCCGTAGTAGTAGCTGCGGCCCCTGAGTCGCATCCCGGCCTCGATCTGGCACCTGCAGGGGTAGAGACACTCGCACCTCGTGGTATCCTAGAGGCTCCTCTGGTCACAATATATTCCTCATCACTAAGGACTTTCCACAATTCGTCAAGAACTCTTGCGCGTTGTTCCGGGGTGATATTCCTCGCCATAGAAATCGTGTTGCTACGAATGAATGAACGCGAAGACGGCAGGACCTCCGGTTCTTGCTTTGGTTTCTGAACCCACCCGGAGAAAAAAGCCATCGCCCACTCGGAAAAAGAATCTGTCACCCGTTGAAAATTGACAGGGTCATCGTAGTACAGGAATTTTGCAAGGGCCAACACATCTTTCTGGCAAGGTTCGCCCCTCTATAGGACGCTGTCTTGGAGTTGAAACGGGTGGGTTCGGAAGGTCTAAATTATATGTCGCATTGAGGTTGAATATGAGCAAGTTGAAGTCAACCCCACTCCTTGGGGTCCGTGGAGTAGCCATCTGGAAGCTTGGATGTAGCCCAAGTGAGTGAATGGCAATTGGACAAAATGCAGTGATATTGCAGCGCTTGCAACAGCTCAATGGTGAGAGGTCTGTACCACATATATCAAGGTGAGAAGTCGACGATTCTAGTTGCACACGACATTCCAAACAAACAAACGAGCGTCGTTGAAGGAATTGACTTTTGCAAACTGTTGCAACAAACTTCCCCCAAATATTCTTTGATAGGGGTATTTAATCAATCATAATGGAAATCGTCAATGGCAACGGATGAGACTGCCTTTAAACGGGCGAAACAGGGCGGGCCTCAAGAAGCAAATATGTTTTTTTCATAATGTGTCCACTCGCATCACGCCCGTTAGCGCTCGCCGCCTGTAGCCCCAGCCTCCCGTTTTCCCGTTTCTTTTTCCAAGCCTGTTGGAGCTAGCGGAGGCCCACAAGTTCTGTGTGATCAGTGCAGCATGAACTAATAAAAGAAACGAGACGTCTCCCTAAGGAACATGACAGCCCGCCAGTCCTCCTCAACATCCACTCATAATATTGGCCAAAATATGACAAGTCAATATGAGGGTTCGGGTCGATGATTATGTAATCGTCAAGGCTGCAAAGGATGAGGGGCCGAAAAACAAAAAAAAAAAAAATGCACTCAAAATGCACGGAGTAAACAAAGTCTTTTACTTGGCAGTTCTCTTCCTGACTCTGGCGTGGGGGGTAGGGGGCCTCAATGAAACTAAATCCTGCGCCTGATCGAGTAAGCTGCATTTCGTATCCGATTATATAGTTTCTTGGAATCACAATATGTGTCGAAAACTGGCGAGAGAAACTCGTATTAGTTAGTTAATAATGTAAGTTCGCATACTATTTATTACACTTTTGCCTCCAAGCAATTCGAAAAAAGGAAAAATAAATTTACGCAATCAGGACAAAATTAAGTTGGCCACTGATTGAAATATTCGTTTGCATGCAGAGACCCTCATATCCTGACACCGAAGTAGCTATATTATTAGCCATTTAAAGAAATTATTGGTGGAAGAATACTGGAAACATTGGTGATATGAAAATAACAGTAGTTATATAGAGAATATAAAGAGCTCGGAAACAAGAAATCATGACGGTGCGTTCATCGATCGAATCGGGGGTTGGAAGTTAGTGATAAAGAAGTTGCATATGCTGTAAGACGACAAAACATTCACCAACCTCCGGTCGAAGCCTGCATTGCTCCATTTCCCGGGGGGTGGGTGATGTACAGCCTCAAATAAGGGAGAAAGAGAGCAACGAAAGTACCCTTTGGCGCCACTCCTCTTAGAACAACCACGAAACGAAAGTCCGATAGAAAAACCCAGCCTTCTCATAATTTTTGGTCTGCGCTGCTTTCCTTGCCAAAAATTCAGCCTCCTCGCGATCGATTTTGTCCTTGCCCGTCCACAAATCAGCCTCGTGGGGCTTCACGCGTTTGCATTTGGTGAAATATTTGTACCCAAAGATGAGAGAGAGGTATAATGGGATACCAATATAGGCCGTGATAAAGCTCTTGTAATCGAACTTTCCGTATTTAGCCTCGTTATGAACAAACACCTCGAAGCTCTTCGTAAGGGAGATGAGAATGCAGAATGCAAGAGCACCATATGAGCCGTAGGAGCCAAAGGGTGCTTTATAAGCAAGAGAGCTCTCGGGGACATTTTGTGCTTTGCGTGCGCGAATGAAATATATGTGCGTAACAAGGATGGAGATCCAAGTTAACAACCCGAAGATGGTGACTAGGTTCACAAAATAACCGAAAACAACCTTCGTGTCGTTCGAAACGTTCATGAATGCGATCAGAGCGAATAACGAAGACAGGCCGAGCGCATAGATGGGAACACCCCTCCGGTCTGTCCTTGCAAGAATCCTTGGCGCTTTCCCCTCCCGAGCAAGGCCGTATATGGTTCTTGTGGCGATGTACAAGTCAGAGTTGCTGGCGGAAAATACAAAAATTAAAATGCAACCATTGAGGATTCCTGGTAGCACCTTGATACCGGCAAGGTGGATGGCCACAACGTACGGGGAGGCGGCAGCAGAGTTAGATGCTTTCGTTGCGAATGCAAGTTCTCTCGAGTTATATGGAACCAACATCCCCAGCAAGAAGACGCTGAGTATATAGAAGATGAGGATTCGGAAGAAGGTCAGCTTGATAGCGCGAGGGATAGTCTTTCGAGGGTTCTGAGCCTCCCCCACAGTAACGCCAACGAGCTCAGTGCCTAGGAAAGCAAAAGTTGCCGTGACCATTGTGGACCAGAATGCGAGGAAACGGCCTGCGGAACCTTCCCTAATATACGTGTTGAAAGCTCCCGGATCCTTCCAGTAGCGGAATCCCTTTCTGTCATGATCTGGACCCCCGCCTAGAGCAAGGACCAAGGACAGCAGAATCAAGGATATGATGACGATGACCTTGAAAGACGAGAGCCAAAATTCAAATTCCCCGAAAAATCGAATACCGAAGTAGTTGATACACACTATGGTTACTAGGAATACCGCAATCCAAACTCCTGGATTCACCCTGTCCCTATCAACCCAATATGAAAGCACCAATGCGGCTGCTGTCAATTGGTTCGGGGTAACAACCACGTATTTACAGTAATACCTATCGCAAGTCAGTTAGATAATCAAACAAACGATCCCCGGGACAATCCAGAGTGAGGCCAGAAATATAGGAAAACCCACGAGTAGCCCAGCGCAAAACCCAATGCAGGATCGCAAAATCGAACCGCATAACCAGTAAAGCTAGAAGGTATGGGAAGCCATGCTGCCATTTCGCCGAGCGCACACATAACAATGTACACGATAAAACCGACAATCGAATAACTGATCAAAACAGACGCAGGCTGCAAAGGTTAGATTCTACGGCTTCAGCACTTCAACAGGTGCCGATTTTCCAGTCCAGAATCACTTACACCAGCCCTGCATATCAAAAATTAATAAATGAAGAAGAGGAAAAGAAAATAAAGAATTCAAAAGCTGCATGCAAGGGCCAGAATAAAACAAGACAGAATTTACTTACTTTGCAAGAGCAGAACCTGTACCAATTATAAGACCAGTCCCAATGGCACCGCCAATTGCTATAGGAGGTTTTAGTATGCTGCGCAAAAGGTTTTTTAAGTCGTTGCAAGCACTACAAAATGAAAATCCGTACCAATCATAGTAATATGGCGAGCCTTCAGGCCGCGGTGGAGGGCAATTCCTTTCTCATCCTCATCAACCACACCATCAGGCTCGGCCGAAAAATTTTGCTCGATATACTCCTCATTTTTCACTTGGTTTTCGGCGAACGCAGCATCTGCTTTCCGATTCCAGATAGCCATGCCACGCACGGTAAATCGTATATAAAGACACACCGGGCGTTTATTGTGCTTTGCAATGGCTTCGGGAAATGGGAAAGGTTGCGTGCGCTTTGTTAATAATATAGGACACATTACGGCGATGGAGAATCGGGTGGTAAATATATATCTCCGAGTTACCACGGTTCAAGCCTTCTATGGAAATGTGGGGTGCGCAACGAAGATTTGAAGTTAAAATCCCCAGATGGATGCTCGTGTGACCCAATCCGGGTTTGAGTTCAACTCATGTACGGGTTAATTCGATAGGTGGTCATGAACCGCGAAGTTAAATAAATGTGCCATCATTTTGTGAAACGCCTCCCTCTGGATCAAACTCACATAGATTTTTACCTTATTCACGTGGTTTCCTACAAGTGACACTTTCGGATAATATGAGCTCGGGATAAAATGTTGTCAAGCAGGGAGCTGCAAGCATGCGAAATTTTTGACTTTCCGAACAATAATGGGGCAAATTACCAGTGATAGGCTGTGTGGAGGATGTTTTAAATCCCTTTTGATGATTCTTTAATAGTTTTAAAGCGTTTGTTAGCCTGATAATGCAAGCTGCTGATTTTCTCCTTGTTAAGCTCAGGAACCATACCATTCTGTGGAACATATCTTCCTTCCGCTTTGGATCTAGGGAGAGATAAGGGAGAGATAAGAAACCGTATTTGAATGGCAAGCGGGGATACAGAATAATGTGTCCGGATCCGTTAGATAACGAAACCAAGTAAGATCTCCCGTCCAACGCCAGGATTGGTTTTGCCTGCCTTCCGAGAGCGTCTAGGAGGTTTGGAAAGTCCTCGATCTAAAAGAGCTTCGAGAACGTTCTTGTTGCCGCGAAAGGTGAAAATTCTATCAAAGAAAGCCATTCGATGATAAGTTGCGCCAGCGACTCAAAATGAATGTGGTCAGTTTGATTCTAGGAGATCTTTTATCTCTTCCCCTATCTTTAATTCTTGTGCCCCTTTCACCGTCAATGTGCATCAAAGTCCCCCAAAATTGCCACTCTGTGCGGGATTATATGCATCCCAGTAAAGAATGTGAAGAATTTTTAAACTGTAGCGGATTCCAGATTTGTATGCGGGATTATCAGATAGACGACGACGCCTTATCATTCCATCCCTTTACAGTTATTTTCACCGGTTCGATCGTTATCGGGCTGAAAATTTTGTTTATTAGCGAAAAACTGTCATCCCTGAAGTGTGTCCGTCGAGTTATGATAATATGCGATATTCATCGGGAAACCAAACGTACGGGCTAGGAAATATCGGGTAGTGAGGCAAAAGTTGACAATCAGTGCACGCACGGCACGGGGTGCTGGCTTTTACTATCCATGTCTATGCGCAGGAAGCTCCACACACAACAGACCTGGCCTGGCGAAATGGGGAATGAAAACGAAATCAGAGGGCGGTCGGTCGGTTGAAGTAAGCTTAAGAACAAGCTTAAATAACTAGACCATCACGCTACACGCACGCTTCTCAGGTCCAAATACCCCACAAAAGACACTACCAACACATCAAAGCGGCTGCCAAGCCTCTACGGCTGATCAGCCATGCATGTCCTGAGTTCCTTGTAAATATCAATTCGTACCTTGACCATACATAAATGCCTGTTACGTACGTACTTTTTTCGAGGGTTGTTTGTGGGGTATAAATTTATGTGAGGGCTGTGCCATTCGGTCAGAAGTTTAGGAAGTTATCGAAAGAACGATTAACCAGTCGTCAAAGACAATGTTTTTGCCGATCCGTGGTAGGGAAAATCCCAGTAATTTTAATACGACAACTTTATCATGAACGTCAGGAAAGTCAGATTACAATTCAAAACTATGTCAATCCGAATGTAGCCGAAAACGTTTTTGAAGATATGTAATATCCGCATTTGGGCTGTTGTTTCAACTCCAAAAAGCTCTCAGTTCGTTAGTAAAGAAAGGATAGGGTAGGGACTAAATCGATGAGGACAGCGCGCATTTTCAGTCAACATTAGGAGGAATCTTATACTTCTCCATTATTTTGCCTCATTTTGAATCCTTCTTCGTTTCGGTTCGGTAAAGAGATGTCCAATTCTCTTCCCGTCTTGTTATAGTTAGTTAGAATGGGTAAAATTGGAGAGAAAATTAAACAAGTTTTCTTGCACCAATGTGATGATAGATGTGAAGAAGATTGCTAAGCTAATTCGTCCCCAAATTTCTTTAACCATTTCTTTTGTGGGCTTGGATGGGAAGGCTAAACCAAGTAGTAAGCAAGCAAGCAATGGAACCGCGCTTATCTTTGTTCCATGCATGAACCGCTGCGCTGCCCTTTTAGTATGTAGTAATACTAGATTATCCGTTGTCGGTCGCATCACTGAGGAGGGAACTGGACGGACATAGATAGATAGGTAGGATAGATAGATATAGAAGCAAAAATGACTGACATGGAAACGACCAAAAAAAATGGAAATTCCAAACACGTGAATGCCTATCTATATATATATATATAATATAGAGAGAGAGAAAAGGAGGAGGGGGGGAGAGGGGATGTGATGTGATCGAAGGAAGAAGAAGAAAAAAAGAGAGACCAATGTGGTTATTTTCAACTAGACCAAGTGGGATTCGAACCCACGACCCCCGCATCACTGAGGAATAAGTCATATGAGTTCAGGCCACACCAAAACAAATGTTCTGGGCGCTACTGAGAATCATATAAGAACGGAACGCTAACCACTGCGTCACTGGTCTAATATTTACGGCCCACAGTAGAGCAATATCCTTTTATGCTAGGTTTGTGATGACGATGCTGTGGGTATATCGATCGATCAATCGCCGCCCACCTCACTTACCCATAAAATTATTTCAGGTGCTAAGGGGGAAACAAATAATAATGATACTAAAATAAATAAAAACAAATAGAAAGAAAGAAAAAGAAAGAAAGAAAAGCTCTGCGATCGTCCGGCCCGCAGTGCGACCGAGTCCTTTAGGGAAATTTGGTCAATGCTTTTCTTCTATCAGTCAATTTTAATCCCCTTTAATCCTGCCTGAACCGTTTCTGCATCCGACCGCTGATAGCAAACCACGAACCCGTGGCGCTGCTGCCCATCGATGGAAATGTCGCCGGTTTCCTCTGGGGTGAGAGCATGGAAATGGTTGGCTTTGTCAAGGACAATCTCAAACTCCTCGCCTTGCCTCCTCTCGGCCCTCTCTCTCACTTCCGCACAGGGTTATCAATTCTTCTTATCAACGACTGGAGACCAACAGTTCACGCTGACGCCCTACCTAGGGTTCGCCAGCCTTCTTTGCAAGCCTACTGTGGGTACATGGCCAGCATTCGCTTCCGTTTACCAGGATTAGCGGAGATTTCCCCTGTCGGAACCAATTTGGAACTCAGCTCTTCCTGCGGCAAATCCTCGGCCTCATACTTGCTCTTCGGCAATAAATTATTGCCAGGCCACTCGTATGCTGATCTTTTTTCTCTTTATTTCAGAGAGACAATAGGAGTATGTTTTCCGATTCTCGGGGATCAAATGGTTGAGACCCTTATATCCTTTCTGCAAAGTTTCTTGGATATTGGGATTTCTACATCTGGGAGACGATGCCTGTCATATGCAACCGCCCCTATCCTCTAACATGCCACTATATCTCTCTGCACCATGTATTGCGTATATACCCACAAACAAGGGGCTAATTGACTTCACAAACCAAACGCACCTGAAAGTTTGTTTTGTTCAAGGGTTTTGAAATGCCAGTATTTAGCGGGAATTGCTCATTCATTTAAATCCCCTGGAATGCACATTGCCACCTCAGTTTGTACCGTTGAAACAAATACTACAGAGCTAAACCACAGTGCCTGGGATCCTGCAGCTCTGTCAGAGGTAGAGGCTCCGACCGCCTACAAATCCCGGAAATGGTACAGATATTCCCGATCAATGGTTACCAATTCTCATAGATGTAGAACTACATCTTCAGAGCGGTTGTATACAAGGCTAATCACAAAACATGAGTGGAAAATCATAAACTTTCCAGTTAAAAGTGGCTATTAAACGCGTACCAATCGGATCTTTTTAAACCCGTTCGTTTTTCCTAAGTCTCTCAACCGAGCAAGGGGCGTCGGTCGATACATGCATGGCTCACAGTTCTTCCCGACGTAGTATAAGATCCCTGTTGCGTTTGCTGATCTCCCAGGAACATACTTCTGTATATATCCGCTGGTCACTTACTAGGTAGGAGGTTCTTCTACCAGACTATGTTCTAGAAGCATAGTCGTAATGTTATCGATGCTTGTATCTCCTTGAATTGTATGTACAGCACATCACATGTGCCGAATCGCCTCCTCTACTTCGAAATTTCTGGACTATCCATATGGGCTTCACAGGTATCACCCAGAAAGTTAGAAAGTTGGACCAGAAAAGCCATCCTCGTTACAGATTCTGGGATGCCTGCTTCCAAACGTCTGTCCAAATCAACTCACTTTCGAAGGAGCCAAATAAATCCGACATCCCGTTGGAATAGAGGCTATATTTCCCATGATGGGGTTAATGCGCTGCGCAGACAAGCAACGCTCCAGCATAATGCGCAAATTGCCTAGAAAATCTACCTCATGGCAAACAAAACCTGTCATTGATTCCCACGTACATCCATACGTAAACTTCAAAGTCCACTGCACTGGTAGCTGTCGTAGAACGTGGAAAGGCGGGTTTGAAGCATGAATAACTGAACTTTGGGTTTAGGAGGTATCGTCCCTCGAGAAGCATAGCAATTATCTTGCATCCGGCTCCCGCTGCCTGTCGCAGGTTGTATATCCATGTATGTGGAAGGACGGCCGGCCACCGTTTGATGTCTGGAATGGATGGGAAAGTATGAATGAGTGGGCTGTTTGGTGCGGTCTGAGAAAAATATTCGATTGTAGAGTGCGGAATCTCTTGTTCGTGAATTGTATACAAGAAAAAAAAAAAAAAAAAAAAAAAAAAACAGGAGCGAGTTGGTTCCGAAGGCAAAAGGGAGCTTTACATTATGGTGCATGTCCTGGCTTGAGTCCATGATTCTGGCTTAGAAAGCACAGAACAAGGACGAAGATTCCGCTCCCATGGAAGAATTAAGAATGAAGGATGCTGCCTCTTCCCGAATATGTGACAGGGGAAAATGTAAGAGGACGCGAAGCAAAAGCTTTGGTATTTAAAAGTGTCACACCTACCACCGAACCCGTCTATATTCCAAATAATACTTCCCCCGTTCAGGAAATAAACATACAGTAATCCAGAGAGAAAACATTGAGGGGTAACTTAAAACATGATCATCTTCTAATCTGGCCTGACGTCAACACTATTACACCAGTCTCAAAAATAAATGTTTGGGTTATCGACCCTCTGGCGCCTCTGATGGCCCAGCAATATAGCCATTACTAACACTGCCACGGGGAGGAGGGTCGGCATATGATAAGGGAAACCCATCGCCACCACCTGGCGTTGACGATTTGCGAAATCCTTCACGAGCGAGCATGGTATTAAGAACAGCACAGTTATAAGCGGCTTCGCCCGGTGGTACAACGACGAATATATATGTATTATCGGTGAACCGGCCCAGGAACACATTAAACTGAGGAGTTTTAGTGTGCATAACCAAAAAGCTCGCCGAGGCCGGTGTAGTATGTGTATTCCTCGCAGCGCAATGCTTGAAAGCCTTCATGATATTCGAGAGACGCTCGTGGCGGTCAAATATAGGGTTCAAACGGCCGACTTCCGACGCGACGGATGTGACGGTGAGGAATGTCGAGCGCTCAAACAAAATGACCTCTTCCGCCTCAATCTTCTGCGCGAAAGCTTGCAGGAATCGCTCGATGACGGAGAGGTTCGGGATGAGTTTGTGGACGATTCCCGCCCATGCCTTATACAAGGATTGGTCCCATATACTGCTGCCAAATGTATCTATTGTAAAAGGCCCAGATCTTGCACGGATGAGCGAGGAACGCTCTTCATATATCCGCTGCCGATGCTCTGTCTGGATTAAATCAAGTTTGTGATGAGCAGAGACGACGCGTTTGGGCTGATTCTTCGAGAGCGGTATGATGGAAAGTAGTGTCGAGTCACGTTCGACTTCCTCGATCGATGTCAAGACTAATGAGCAGCGACTCGAAAATGTTCTCCGTTGCGACCCAGTAAGTTTCCATGAATGCATCTTGACTGAAAAAAATCGCATATGCCAGTTAGTTGCCGGAAACAAAAAAACCATCAATCAAATATTCCTAGAAGCAGGGAAAGAGTATCCTATTAATCGCAAAGACTCACCCTCCGCAATCCCAGAGATTCAAGGTCAGGCTTCCCATGAACTTGACATGGCTGTGCTCCACATCGATCGTAGCTCCTAGGCGGCGGACATCCTTGGCTACGTAGTTGCTGAATATGATGGAGCGCATAGATGACTTTCCAGACCCACTTTTGCCCATAAGTAGGACCTTGCGTTTCTTCTTTCGTATATCCATTGTTGCCGTGCCGTTGTTTCTTTCGCGAATAAGCTGGGGGTACCCCAGTTATTAATGACCGTAGAGCCAGATGCGCATACCATCTCAGTCGCGAGGGCGGAGGAGAAAACCTAGGCAGAAGTTTGGGGTTTGTGCTCAATTGGTCCTGGCCTCACACTTGAACAAGGGCCAAAATCATAGCGAAGGCGGAGAACTGCACGTTCGGTTGTTTATGTGTAGTTCGGCAGTCAGACGACGTTGACATTGGCTGAAAATCTTGAGGTTGGCCAACTCGGGAAGAAGGCTCCAAAGCCGAAACTGTGTAATCACGTGATATGGGCTTTATTGGAGGTTTGGCAATATCTATATCCGCTTTTATTCAAGAAACGATATATCTGCTGGATCTGTATAGTTATGGGAGCATTTCCTTACAAATAGCGAACAACCTAATGGGTATCCCATAGATATGGGGCTCGTTTCGCTTCAAACTTCTAGCGTTGAATTATGGACCAATATCCCCTTGCCTCCCGCCATAATTAAGCAATGACAATGACCTCCAAAACAGGGAAATGTCGACAGTCGCGGACCTATGGCTTTTAAATTTGAAAGAGATAACGAATAGGAATTACCAATCCAATCTTTGGCAAGTAAGTTCTCGCCAAGCATTTCTCGGCAACTCTCAATGCGCATATCAAAAGGGTGGGAATTAAGAAAGTTGAGCAGAACATAAGAGAATATCCAAAGAGGGGATACAGGTTTGAAATAGTATAAAGAAGGTCACAATATAACGGATGACGAAGGAGAAGGTATCATTATCATTAGTAAGGCCCAATGTCACACCATGAAACATGAATGGAATAAGACGCGAATAGGACATTGTAACGAATTTACAGTTAAAAGACAGTCCCATCGGAAAGAATCATAATGGGGGCTTCTTTCGTGTTCGGCCGAGAAACCTCCGCAATTTCACGCCCTCCCTAAACGACAAATTAGCTATGCATTGTGGGATTCTAGATAATCAATACTGACCTTCCAAGTTCCAGCTTCGAGCATCTGTGCAAGGGTTAGACGCTCCGCAGAAGGTAGACCTAATAGATTGTTCACTTCCTCAAGCAATTCGTCCAGGAACCCGACTGTAAGAGCTCTCCACTCCACAATCACATCATCGTCCACCGTAAAAAGTGGAACTACTTCTACATTTGGCTGGCCTTTGATCATTGAGTTGGATTTATACGCCTGGATGCCCCGCTCAGCATCTTCGCGTTTCAGGTTCAAGAGGCCCATATCGATGAGAAGTCCTCCGTTCCGATATTCGGGTAGCCCCGTCAGAAGTCCGGTCCCGGAAAACTGAATCTTCATCACTTTTGTCATCGGTGCCATGAGTGAGTAGCAGAGCCATTGTGTCAACTTGTGGAACGGAACAATACTCTCCCAAGATATCGATGCCGGCGGCGATGCTAGGACAGAACAGTGCCAGGCATCTCCGATAGACACGCCGTCAACCTGAGTTCGAGACGGGGGCCAAATCGATGACAGCCCGTCCATAAGCACGGACCACAGCGTCGGAATAGAAATGATGGGAACGGAGGATGCGAGAGTGGTGTGGTGGGAAAGAAGGTAATCTACAATTGATAGTTAGCATAGTGAAACGAACAATTAATTACGCACAAAGCATAGTTAAAATTACATACCAAGCATATTTCCTGGTCTCGCATCAACCCCGAAAAATTCTTGGTTGTTCAGCGCTTCTGACAACCTGATCAGCAAGCCAGCCCGTCCTTCCAGCCCGGGCAATGGATTATTTTCGGAGTGCTGCATCCCCTTCGCAAGCTGCCCTACAGTGACCTTTTTCAAGCCTGCGCCATCCACTTGGCACGGCTCAGTGGGATCACTACTGAATAAGCCGGTCTTAAACATCTCCAGGCTGGCGACCGCTAGACCTTCACTTCTTCTATAGATTCTTCCCGATTCCTTAGATTTATACGACCACTTACTCCCCGACCCAGCGTCCAACAAGACCGATATAAGAAAGAGGTCAATCAGTCGCCTAGTCCGTTCAAACGTGTCAATGGTACTAGGCCATGATTGTAGGAGTTGGTTGATCCGAGGTCTCCCGCCAACGTCAAAATGATGCCAACGACTATGGGCGGGTATGGCATGGTAATCGGGGGCGTAATCCCGCTATAGATTTTAGACCATAAAATATTAGAATGGTGCTTTAACGGAGAGAGAGAGGTTGGAGAGAGTAGTGTAAACACCCGCATACCTTGATAATGGACGCAACGTATTGAGCCGTGTCCGCAAACTTGCTAAAATCAATATCGAAGTGATTCAGTTGATTTCTCTTCGCTTTTTTCATAACGGCTCTTGATCGTTGGCGAACAGAATGAATGCTTCGTAGATAAGCTGCTGGGTCCAGGTTTGGGTCTGGTGGGGGCGCGACTGGGACCTCTGGGATTGTAACAGATCCGCCATTGACAGTCTTAATTGTCATGGGAACCTTCATCGATGCATTTGAAGTTCTTGTACTGCTGGTTGACACAAAGGACTCGCGGTCATCCTTCTCGTCGTTGGTCGACAGTTTTGAGTCTTTCCGTCTAAACATGTTAACCATGGCCGATCGACCGCGGGGATGCGCAAAGAGAGTTAGAGTTCCAGGATCGCTAGCTTAGGAAGTGCAGACATAGCAGGGCTAAAGAATTATGTCGAGAGCGAGTGGTAAAGGAAAAGTGAAGGGAGGAAACGGGAGGTGGAGGAGAGAGGAAGCGATGGGGATGGAGGCGCGGTTGGTGCAGAGGTTGATCTGAAGGGGCACATGAGGAGGAAGGGGCCAAGTTCTCTCATATCGACAACTCCGGATATCTTCTCCTGCTGAGCCAGTAGGGTTACAAGCTCTCGAAACCCTGGTTGAACGACTAGGGGAGGTCAAATTTCATGGAACCCGGTCAGCCCCAAGAGAAATTCGTAACAGGGCAGGACTACTATTAAACCTTCATTTGCAACTTGGGAGGTATGGTAGGTGATATTTGGGATCTGGCTGGGTCTTCAGTGCACAGGCGTACATGACGATGAACTTTACAACATAGTACGCACGCTACATGCTGCTGCTCGTTGGAGCATCCAAGCCGTCAAAAACTTGAGTGGCGGGGGGTTGTTGGATTTTGAACTACAGAGTCGGGGAAGCCCCTCAACGAATGGCCCGCTCGTCCCGGGTGGTGTTTTCGCATCGCAACGTTTGGCTAAATGCTTCCTAGCGGCCAGACAGGAAAAACTCTAAGATGAGCCGTCGTTCTGCAGATAAAGCCACGCTCGAGACGATCGAGGATAGGCTCCACCCAAGAATGACTGAGGAAACATGGGAAGATCTGGGCCCAGAGAACCCATCCTTCCAGGCATTGACCACTGCATCGCTACCAGCCTGGTGGAGCTCTCTTGAGTTTCGGCTCCAATAGTGAAGCGCCCTTGAAGAGAATTAAGTTGCAGCAGCCGAGTCATTGGCGCGAATGAGGGTGATCCAGCCCCAAATCCCAAATGGTTGAAGCAACGAATCTTGGAAAACCTGCCTCTGAGCGAAGGGCACCGAAAACATGGTGGAGTTGTTCGGGGTTATTCAACAATTCTTCGAATCGCAATCTGCGTATCCTATACCGGGAATGGCAGTTGGCCAGGGGATTCCACCCCAGAAGGGGATTCCACCCCAGAAGGGGATTCCACCCCAGATGTGGTTTGCTGGCAAGGGATGGGTCCCACCTGGTCGATGCACCGAAGACAGCGGAAGAAATACCCATGAAATATCCTCGGTTAAGTTACGCCGTAAATGTGCCAGATACCAGGAGTGCCCTTGCTGGGATATGTCATAATGGCCACTAAAACTTCTCTTAGAATATTCTCTTGCATAATTTTGGTGCTTGGTTTTCCTTAGGAACATTTTGTGTTGAGGCTGGCAGCGGTTCGTTCGTGTGCCCTTCGAGCCTCACCGCAACGATGCAAAATCTACTACAAGTTGCTGATCCATAACCTTGAAACTGGCGATCGTTGGCACATGCCGCTCCATCCATGCATTCTGGAAAGGTGTTATTGGTTGCTTCAAGGGGTTCTGTACCCAGTGAGCCTTAACTATGGTGCACCCAGTCTTGAAATTCGGCGTTCAACTACACGTTGGTTAGGTTGGACAACTTTCGATGGTATTTTTTACGTTTCAAAGCCACAAAATCAGCTGGTGAGAAGATTCCAGACATTTTCGGCGGTTTGTAAAGGCTAACGGTGTTGAGCCTGCTGTTGTGTCCCGAGTTGGGCATACATTTTGAGCGTTTGACTTCCGGCCTGGCAGTTACGGTGAGTTACCTACATATGTTTCTAGCGCTGACTGTTACGTTGCATATCGAAATTGGGAAAAAAGATGCAGAGGCAAATCTGCGCTCATTTCGGTTTCAAAGACTTGCCAATCAATCTATTTTGCATCTTCCCACCTTGATTGAGCTCAATGTCTTTTTCACTGTCAACAAGACGTAAACATCTCACGTAACTTCGTCATTTCACCCACTCGCCCACACGGGGAAAGACGGCCACCAAAAATTTTTCCATCAAAATGAAAACCAGGAACAAAAGCCCGGGTTGCTTTGTCTCTGTCAATCCGTGACTCCGCGCCAATTGGAGTGCTTTCTCTCGCTAACTGCGCCCAAATTGCCTCTAGCTGTAATTGCTAACCTCTCTTGCGGGGGTTGACAGCAGCTTTTCCGTAGCGCGGCGGGAGATGCCTACCACTCATGTCCTTCCCCACCGCCGTGGAGCTGGGGCCACTAGGCGGGTGCCCTGTTTTGCTCCACTGACACGGTAACTTCGAAGTTCCAAGGTCGACATGGGGCTGGCTTGTTGGACGCTGAATAGTCTCGGCAGGACCCATCCTCACTGCGCTCTTGATGTTGGGTGAGTCAGCCTGGAGTTTTCCAAGCTTGGTCCTGATTGATATACGCCATGTTTTGCCCAGCATCACTGCTCTCATGATGGTGCGCCTACATCGAAAACAGCCACAGATTATCAAGAATATTTCTATTTCACTTACAGCTCATCATGGCAGAATTGACAGAAGATGGCTGCTTGACACCAAAGAGAGTGTAAATCGGCTAACAGGATGGTGGCTTCAGCAGGGGATCCTACAGCAATTTACACTGGCTCATGCCCTTGAAGAATATAAAGCCTAGAGCCACTGTGATGCCTGAAGCGCGAATGAAGGGGGGGAAAGCTGCAACAGGCGCGGACAAGAGTGAGGCACGCGCAATAGATGGGAATGCATGGTAGATGGGAAAGAAGGTGATATGAGTGGGGATGGAAAAGTTGTTCTCTTACTTCTCAGGAACAGCACTGGCTGATCCTTGGTAAAGTTGTGGAAAGAGATTAAAAGTAAAAGCAATTAGCTGAGAAGAGGTTTTTAGTCCAGTGGTGTCAGCCACATGGTTTTCCTTTCATGTAATATAAGCTTCCCGCATACTATAGGTTAGGCGGCGTAGGAATAAATAAATAAATATTTCACTTACAGCAGGACTACTTACTTGCACATCTATCATTCACTTGCTGCGGATTATCTTCGCCATTTACCTTCAAATCGGGCCACTGCAGATTATGGGCGATACGAGGAAGGGTTGTAGTAAGGCTGACTTATTGGTGGATTAGGTCCTGGATGTACAAGCTGCCGCCGTGATATCTGTGCCCATCCAGGTAAAATATGGGCACACCGTGGCACTTGCGCTTGCACCTCATCAATGGCTTCGAAATGAAAACCCCAACCCGTATTGTGGGGTTGAATGAAGAAGACGGATACACAACAGACTTCAGCCACACAAATGGTTGAATGGGAGCGAAAGATACTACTTATCATCAAAACGCAATGAAATGTTCATTTTAACTCACACTAAATCTCTCGTTGATACACTTCATAACTAGACTCGGAGCAACCACGAAGATCCGCACGGTTTACGGGATTCCTGATGAGCCAGGGACCAGCAGTTCAGAGGGATCGGATGCAAACGTGTAGAGTGATTGTCGGAGAAATGGTGTCTCGAATAAAAGGGAGATACCTTTAATACTTACTCTATTGAACACCTCAACGAGGAAAACAAAAATTGACGCACATACTACGGAAAATCCAGTAAGGCAGGCTATGCACCAAATGGAAAACGATACTCATTGAAATTCAACGTTATGACTGGCAGCATCGTCATCAAATGCGATCACTGAGAGAAAATATGAAAAAGGAGAAGGAGAAGGCGAGAAAAACAAAGCATACTAGTCCTCGTTAGGTGAAGGACAGTGAAACTTCCCTGCGAAAATATCCCCCTAATTACTGGAATTTTTCCCGCGTTCGGGCATATTTGACAGTTCGCTCATTCAACCCATCGCGCTTCTGAGCCAGGTCCGATCTGGCACACAATTCCAGTTCACGGTCAATGCTGATTAGACATGGCCGAATCTCAGTTCTCCATCCTTTGCCGCTGCCGTGCAAGCGGCAGCTATGGCATTCTTGATCCGAGAAAATCGGTCCGAGGACCTTGTTTGAAGATATATCCGTCATTCCTTGGAAATCTAGGGCCAGGCCGTGGCGTTTTCAATTCCTGAGGGATATAGGATATATTCCCTATTTCTTTTTACCCATCACATATGTATCGCTTCCAACCGTCTTTGGAATCTAAGCTGCGAATGGGACTTACAGGAAGTTGGTTTCGGAAAAGCCGGTGGTATGAATTTTATGAAACCTGATTTGGTTATCTAGTGATGATCTCACGTTTTCTAAAATTTCAAGCAATTCAACTGCTCAACTATTCTAGCCAAATCCCATACTTTATTTTTGGCAGAATTGTTTAATTAACAGAAGTCACCTAGTATCGTGAGTATAAGGATTCACAAATTGCTCACATTCCACTCTCGCCCGCCCCCTCGCGTGCTGTGTCATATTGCAACTAAATTCCGTGTCAGAGATATATGATCTATCTAAGAATATCGATATGTTGGACGTCTCAGTGGTTGTATTAGGCGTATATGTGCGGTACGCTAGTCCGTAATAGGTAGCTTAGAACCATCATGTGGGACCTCCAACAAATATACATATCACATGACTTAGTGTTTCACGATCCCTTTTATTCCATCATTGCAAGTTAACCGCAGGGTTCTATAGATAGTCGTTCATTTTCTCTTACATTGATACTCGAGGCATGTGATGAATAAGGTTAGTTCGGCGATTGTGGAGATTGAGTGTATGAGTTTCATACCTTATGTGGCGCATCACCTAACTTGAACAATCCAAATAGTGACCTGAATGAGCACCTGGAGAAGAAGGAAATGACCTCAGCTACATATCAAGCTTCTTCTCCGCCTAAATAACGGCGAACAACTTCGAGGGTCAAAATCAACTCCAACCAAAACCACATGGATGACCTATCAGGGCTCAACTGGACACCCTCCTCAGGGTCTGAAGCGAGAAGATCATCCCCGGTTGGATCCGCGCCTCCATCTAGGTTCTCTGAGTTAAGGCCTACACCTCCTATGTCAGGACGATCTACTCCGTTAACTTTTGGTCCTTCGGTGCGTTCGAAGCCACCTTCAAAAGCAACTACTCCGGCCAATGACAGTTTTGCGAATCTAGTCTCATTTAACTCTGCCAACTCTGGAAAAACACTTTCATTGCTCGAACAACAGAAGCAGTTGGCAGAACAGAGAGCACGGAAGGAAGAAGTGAAAAGGGCGAATTTAGAGACCCAATATGGGGGAAGCAATACACAATTCTGGGACAATTTCGAAAAGCCGCAGGCTTCAGCATCTCCCGCAGGCGCGCATACGTTCTTGGGACAACGTCGCCCTTCTGGTGATGAAGATGATCTGTTGGCTGCCTTCAATGCATCCGCACCAGTTGACGCCTCCACAAACTTCCCTATACCCGTTCACAGTGGATCCTCTAGTAATAATACGCCAAGTTTACAACTCAGATCGAATGATGTGCAGGCTACACATCAAAGCTTGAGGATTCCTGATGATGATGACCCATTCGGTTTGCGCGACCTCAAACCCAAGGCTACATCACAAAATCTCACGCCCCAGACCGTCGACGATGACATTCTAGGTTCACTTGGGAAATCGGTGTCCGAGTTTACACAGAAACAAAAAGTTGAAATATTATCACCGAGAGAGGCGCCCGAAAAGCCTTCTCCACCCGTTTCCACTGAAGATAAGTATATTGCTGAATTAGTAGACATGGGATTTCCTGCGGACAAGGCTCAAAAGGCCCTTGCTGCGACAGAGTCTGGAATTGATGTTCAGGCTGCCGTTGGATGGCTCCTAAACCAAGCTCACGAGGAGGCAAAACAAAAGGCGAAAAATAGGGGACTGAGCAAAGATCAGCATCAAAATAGAAGCCTTGAACGGAGTTCTGGTGGCAGATCTCCTGAGCGGCGAGACAACGGTGTACCCGCGTGGATGAAGAACGAACGCTCTCGCTCCTCAAGCAATCATGCACATAGCCCAAGTCCTTCCAGACTGGACAAGGACCCGGCAGCGTTGGCAGCAGAATTAGGTAATACCCTCTTCAAATCAGCCAATTCCCTTTGGAAGAGCGGAGCGAAAAAGATGCAACAAGCCGTCCAGGAGTTTAATGGCCCGTCTGACTCAAACCAACCTCGCTGGATGCGAGAATCCCCATCAACTGCCTCGGAAACAACGCGTCCAGGAGCGCGAGGCAATAGCGCTCCACACAAGGGCAACTTCACAGATGAAGCGTTGCTGCTTGAATCTGATGCAAAGCCTACCAAGCCACCCAGGCGGAGGGAAGAGTCTTATCCCATTTCCAACCCAGATCTTCTCCAAAACCGTTCACCACGTGCTCCGGTGCAAAGGGATACTCAACCGCAAATTAGGGAAGGCCCTCGAACTCGGCTCACTCGTGTGAACGCTGAAGAGCCAGCCGCCCAAGCATACGTTAGCCCTGCGAGGAGACGGAAAGCAGCTCCAACACCGCCAGCGTCGGAATCTCAGCCTAACTTGTTCGATACACCTAACGCAGTGAACCAACCTGCACGACCTGCAACGACATCGCCTCATCCCCAAACACGTCAAGTCCGGACTTCCAAGCCACTGCCAGTGCGTCCTAGAGCACCTCCACGCGAAATTCCTCAAATTTCTTCTTCTGCGCTTGCGTCCTCCCATAGCTCACGTCAGAAAGGTTCCGAAGCCTTTAAACGTGGCGACTATGCTTCTGCGCATACGGCATATTCCACTGCCCTTTCTCACCTACCGGAAAAGCACCCCCTAACGGCAGTGCTTCTATGTAACCGTGCGCTCACCGCGCTTAAAATTGGCGAACCCAAATCGGCGATCACCGACGCAGATACTGCCATGGCAATCATTGGCCCTTCCAGAGGAGAGTCGGAAAAGATCGACTTAGCGAAGGGGGAGCCCAGCAAAGACATGAAAGAGGTTTTTGGTAAAGCATTGATGAGGAAAGCCGAAGCGCTAGAGCAACTTGAACGGTGGTCTGACGCCGCTAAGATCTGGCGAGATGCGGTTGAATCAGGCCACGGAGGTAGCACTAGCATCCAGGGACGAAATAGGTGTGAAAAGGCGGCTGGTATGAACCAGCTAACTCCCCGTACATCAACGTCGGTGACGTCTACGGGTCCCGTAAAACCCAGAAAACCAGTTACTCCAGCGGCTAGGCCGATTGGACAGCAGTCCAAGCCAGCAGAAGCGGTTTCTCGTCTCCGCGCAGCAAATGAGGCGGCAGATCGAGCTGATAACGAAAAATTCGCCCTGTCTGATTCTGTGGAGGCTCGTATAAGCGCATGGAAGTCGGGGAAGCAGGATAATCTGCGAGCGCTTTTGGCAACTTTGGACACTGTTTTGTGGCCAGACGCTGCGTGGAAGACGATTAGTATGTCTGAGTTGATTCTACCCAACAAGGTTAAAATCCACTATATGAAGGGGATTGCCAAGGTGCACCCGGATAAGGCTTGTCTCCCCTTCCCTTCCTCCCTTCCCTCCTACTTTCGTTTTCCTTTTTACGAAGTCTGCAGTTCGTGGATATCTAGAATATAGGTTTTACTAACTATCCCTTTTGTATGTGCCCCTACAGATCCCGGTTAACGCAACAACGGAGCAGAAAATGATTGCTGGTGCTGTATTCAGTGCATTAAATGAATCGTGGGACAAATTCAAGAATGAAAATGGACTATAGCAACAGATCTTAACCTCTGCACGAACAATTTTATTCCTCTTCCGACAGATTCCGTGCAAACTCCCCACACCTCGGGCGAACTTCTTTCTCGGAACCCATCACTGCCAGGTCATTTTTCAGTGCTACCCCACGTTTATCGATCGTTTATCCCAGACCTGCTTTTGCCTTTCTTATACTACCAACAACTTTAAGATTTTTTGGCTTCTAATCGTGCTCGTAGATAGATCTTTGAACGTTTGATGTTATGCCATGAGAATAATGACAGATATTAAATGCTTCTATTATGTTTTTATTTAATAATTCTTGAATTATATTCATTAAAAGATAGTTCTGACATTTCCGTTTTGTCCACAGGACATGTATTCAATGCATGTAAGCTCTCAGTCTCGTATTACATGTATATTCAAGGAAACTGTCGCACAGAGAGCAAGCTGTGCCGAGAGTGTCGATTAGGATATTCGATGTAAGATACCGTGCCCATACCTACGTCCTCATTCAGGGGTGAGGCACCTTGAGTGTCTTCAACCCCTTGATTTGAGCAATATACAATCGTCCCTAATTGGCAATGTCAAGCCATCAAGAGATCATGGGGTGGCAATATAGAAAGAATCCTAAAGAAGCTGGAGACTCCATGAAAACTGGGATATAATTTGTACAATTCATTCACCGGGAACATTACAATTATTCCTCCTCCGCTTTCTTAGCCGTCTTCCTCTCAGCTTTCTCTTCCCGTTTCATCTGCTTCTTGCTCTTCGGATGCACTGATGCCCCATCTACAGCGCGACACTTCGCAACGCTTGGCCACTTTTCTCGACACCGTTGTTCTTCCTCTTCAGACCATGTAACGGGCAAAATGGCAAAGACAAGATAGGACGTGTGGGTCTTGAGATCGGGCTCGCTGCGATGTATGAGATTGCCTTGCTTGTACGCTGGCACCAATGGTTGTACCGAGGGGGTTGATTGCTTTAATTTTAATATGCCTGATATTACTGAAGACGATGGATCATTCTTGTCGCTACCCTCTGGGTCGACTATTTCTGTACCTTCTTTGCTGCTCTCACGGTTACCCGTCACCATCACCGCCCTTGCAGTTGTCATTTTCTGTTTCGTTTTTTGAAGCGGTAGCCTGAGCGCTTTCCACCTCACTTTGTACCTGGCTAGCATGGAAAGCTTTTCCACGTTCCCCAATGTCTCGAAGCCTAGTTACTGATTCTTCCACATTTCGAGGACCAGGAATCGTGCCTCGACCCCCACCACCTTCAATTCCGTAACGCTCTCTCCGCACCTCAATTTGGCGATGATTTACTTCAACCATCGATATAGATACCCAGTCGTGTTGACGCAGCGCGCTGATGGTCCGCTGGACTTGTTCCAGGCAAGGTGAGAACGTGCAGATATGTACTGGCAACGATGGGTCGAGGGGAGATGGAGATCCGTCAATGGGTTCTCGAACTAGGTGTTTCAGCGCGAGCCATGGCGCGGGGAGGTCGAGGAATATGGCATTGGCTCTAGGGGATTCGCCTTTGAGAGGTTCGCCTACCAAAAATCCCTCGTTGTAGACGTCCCGGTAGCTCACGTCGACGATACCATCTAGCCCGTGATCGCGAATCTCTTCGCGAATCTTCGACGCCCGCTGCGCATGGAACTCGAAGCTGTAGACTTTCCCGAGATGTTTGTTGCTTGGGGGTTCTGCAGGTGACGGGTACCCATTAAACACCGCCCGCGCGGCCGCATGTGTGAATGATCCACTGCCTGCGCCTGCTTCTATAAGTCTACATCCAGGTCTAGCACGTATGCGGTGTAATATGTAGCTGTAATCGGGGGTATATACGACCTGCGTTCGGTGGGGGAGGGAAGCTGTCCAAGACTCGGGTGTGGGAGGGAGAAGGTGAATGAAACCGCTGGATGCAGCAACAGCAGTTCTTGGTGTTGTAGGTATCGAATCATCATCATTGGCCTCAGATGTGTCCATTTCATCTGCTTTTCGCTTTAATGAGGACGGCTGCTTCTGGGATAGTTTGCGTCCCCGCGAGCCAGTGTCGACCTTGGATGCAACAATCTGCGAGCCCCAAGGCTGCCCAATCAATGTACTGTGTGGAAACGAGCCGAAGCGGGTGTTGGTTACTTTCCCTTCATCATAGCCAAGATTTTCGTCATCGTGAGTCTTGAGGACCGTGGGGATCAAAAGGTTTCGCCGCAAATGCAGCACCGCCAGAGAATCCGCCTTCGCCGTGGGACCAGGCGTAAGGAACGGGGACGGCATGCTGGTGGAATCCAATGGGATTGAAGAAATGCCAAAATATCTGCTTCTCAAGTGAAAATGGAAAATACAGTTCAAATCAGCATCTTTGTCTTGCATACCCTGTACAATGTCCACCAAACAGTGAATTGTTGAAAAAAGAAAAAACTACAGCATCTGGCCAAATAGGGTTTAGGGCAGGATTGCTGCTTTGAGCTCCCCGCATCACCAAAATGCAATGCAGACAACACGCATGGATTTGACTGATTAACCCACGCCTCCGCCCCTCGTCTGCCCCTCGTCTCACTCCTTTATTCCCTTCCTCTTCTCTCCTTCTTATTCTCCCGATCGCTACTCTTATGCGCGTCTCCCATTTATGAGGCTCTTTATTCGCACAGGTTGCTTGTCCAGCTTCTTTGACCCAGCCAAAGCACGCCCTACCCTGTTCTGTTCGACCAGAAGCCCAATTCGAATCACCACGATGTCAACCGCTCGCCAGCAACCGCCATGGAACCAGCCCCAGCTGCACCCTGAATCCGCTTCGCGTCTACCTCCCTTGAAGATTTACAACTCTCTTACCCGATCGAAAGTCCCATTCGTTCCTCTTGATCCCATTGGCCGAAAAGTTACTTGGTATGCCTGTGGGCCGACAGTCTACGATGATGCGCATCTAGGCCATGCCAGAAACTATGTCACCAACGATATTCTACGGCGAATAATGCGCGATTATTTCAAATTCGATGTTGAGTTTATTATGAATATCACAGATGTGGATGATAAGGTGTGTGTCTATCTGTGTGGGAAAATCACCTTTTCTGATCACCCCCAGGATTAATACAAGCGCCAGATTATTACCAGAGGCCGACAACATCACTTCTTTACCGAATTTGTAAATTCGCATCCCATAATTGATGATGAAGTTACTAAGATAGTTCGCTCGGCATTTGCCGCTTTCCTGGAACGGAACCTTCCACTCCTTGAGGCTGGACTAGCCCCCGAGCGCTATGGGGAGGAGGCAGAGAAGGTGTACGCTGCCATCCTGAATGGCGCAGCTCTTGATGGAAGTGAAAAGCCTGGGGATGAAGAAGCGAAGTTGAAAATGAAAATAAAAACCGCGTCATCTGCGGCGAATGCACTCACAAAAGTATCGTGTGCGAAGGAAAGCATCCTGAGCGAAACATTCTATAATGATGTCCAGGATGTACTCCTGGAATACCTTGATTCAATTCATGGATCGTCCATACGTGGAGAAGACCGTACAATCTTCACCAAATTAACGAAGAAGTACGAGGATCGCTTTATGCAGGATGTTCGGGATCTAAACGTCTTAGACCCGGACACCGTCACCCGAGTAACAGAATACATGCCAGAGATTGTAAGCTTCGTTGAAAGAATCGTCAAGCATAGATTCGGCTATGTTACTTCTGATGGATCTGTTTATTTTGATATTGGCGCCTTCGAGGCTGCGGGGAATAGTTATGCCAGATTAGAGCCCTGGAATCGGCATGATACGAAACTTCATGCGGAGGGAGAAGGGGCTCTAACAAAAAAGACAATGGAAAAACGTTCTGCTGCAGACTTCGCTCTTTGGAAAGCGTCAAAAGCTGGCGAGCCTAGCTGGCCAAGCCCTTGGGGTGATGGCCGTCCTGGTTGGCATATTGAATGCTCAGCGATGGCATCCGCCAAGCTTGGGAAGCAGATGGATATCCATTCCGGTGGAATAGATCTGGCATTTCCACATCATGATAACGAGCTGGCTCAAAGTGAAGCTTACTGGCATGAAACCTGCGCTCACGACCATTGGGTTAATTACTTCCTACATATGGGACATCTTTCTATTCAAGGCTCGAAGATGTCGAAATCGCTCAAAAACTTCACTACAATCCGGGAGGCTCTGGATAAAGGGGACTGGACACCTAGAAGCCTTCGAATAGTGTTCCTATTAAGTGCGTGGAAGGATGGAATTGAAATCACCGAGGACCTCATCAATGCTGGGAATGCCTGGGAAGAAAAAGTGAACAACTTTTTCATCAAATCCAGAGATGTAGTGGGTCAGCCAGACGTTGCTCCGGGTTCAGCAGATAACACTTTAGCCGTCGCCCTTAAATCCGCACAGGATGCGGTTCACCAAAGCTTGTGTGATTCGTTTAACACCGCTGGTGCGATGTATGCAATATCCGAGCTTATATCCAAATATAACATCGCTGATAAATCCACAATACCAACCAAGCACATCCAGGAGGCTGCCATGTGGGTTACTTCAATGGTCAACGTATTCGGTCTTAATGGTAGCGCTCCGCCAACCCCAACTGAAATTGGCTGGTCAGGCATTGATATCCCAGATGCTGCAAAACCTTATCTCTATCCTTTGTCTACAATGCGGGATTCCCTTCGGGAAGCCGCCAGAGCGAAGGACGGAATATCAGAGGAAACCTTGAAGTCTATTGTTGAAATAGGGACCGCAGCAATCCAGCGAAACTCAGGGGTGGCCGAAGCGGAGGCGGGAATTTACAAGGATGTCCTATTGGATTTCTCCACGAAGATATCCTCCCTGGAGAAAACCAACTCTATTTCAAAGGAAATCCTTACTCTCTGCGACCGCGTTCGTGACGTAGACCTATTTTGACCTTGGAATCTACCTTGAGGACCGTGATAACCAACCCGCCCTCGTTCGTCCAATCAGCAGAGAAACTAATCCAGACACGTGAGGAGAAGGCGGCTCGAGCTCTCCAAAAGCAAATAGAAAAAGAAAACAAAGAGAAGGAGGCACTAAAGAAAGCTGAGAAGGGCAGAATCAGCCACCTCGATCTATTCCGGACCAGTGAATACAGTGCTTGGGACGAGGATGGGCTGCCGACCAGAGACGCAGCTGGAGAAGAGATTACAAAGAGCAGAAGCAAGAAACTGAGGAAAGATTGGGAAAGACAGAAAAAGGCGCATGAGGCATGGCTAATGAGCAATAAAGGAAATATTTCATAGATAGAGAAAAAATTCGTAGGTCACCGTTTTATATAATACTACATTTTGATAATTCCGGGAATTTTAAGGTCCTGTTTTATGTACCGACGTCGTCCAAACCGTGACAATCCCTCCAACACAAACTGCAATTGAGCGATACATCATACCTTTGTGATGGGGGTTCTTTTTTAATATGGCGGGCGTAAACCGTGTCGAGAGGCCTTTTGGTCGAAACTGCTTGCTCCCAAAGCATCAGCCACGAGAATTTGTTTTTATTTCTTTAAAAGGGAGATTCCTTTGTTTTCTTTTTGTTTTTACACTTAGAATAATCAATCAATCAAGGAATTAAAATAATATTCCTTGCTGATGGAGCTGGGGGGTTTGGATTGGTTCGTCGCTGGTGTGAGAGAGCTCTTTTGCCCCAGTGGCCTAACACTTAATTGCCTTAAAGCTTGTTTCTAGGGGGGATTCAATCAAAATTCAGTCATCGTAACATCATCCAATCCGCATCTCAGATTCATTATTCGAAGTGTTCATCACCAAGCGTCATGACTGAAATGCGAATCAAGAAACTGCCGAATCACGCTTGAGCTAAACCAACCTTTAGCGGTTATTGAAGTCTCCAGAATAGATCTCTACGTCCAATATGGCAATCACGCATACCGAGCACACGTCATTCGATTTCCGTGATCAAGACTTTTTATCCTCGAAGGCCACAGTGATTACCCCCATGACTTTTGCAGTCTTGAAATTGAAAATCTATTCCCACGAGCTATATTTCCAATGCTCCTCAAAAAAACTCCTGTCGCTGATACCGCGTACACACTAATCGAACCGGCCCTCCTCCTCGCCTCGCGAATTATAATCCAACGTTGGGAGTCATTCCGAATATTTGTCCGGCGTCAGCACCGTAACCCAACAGAAGGGTGGCTTGATTCAGATGGAGAACTTGAGCTATCAAAGGATGAAGTTATCAGTCGGGTCAAAAATGTGATGCCTGACATTGACTTCGATCCCGAAATGGAACCGAACTTCCGCCCTTTCGCAGAATCATCTCTACGCCCCAACGCTGCTTCAGATTCGATCGTCTTAGACTACAATCTCATTCGCCTTCTCAGGGATCCGGGGCGCCGAGACAGTCAAAAACTCGCCGGTCTCTTCTTCCTAACAGTATTGCTATGCCATGAATTAGCCCATATCCTGGAATTTCGATGTATTCATGGAGGCAGACTACGCCCTGACGGCGAACCGTTCGACACTCCTCCTGGAATCACATGTCGCGAAGCTGGTACTGGTTGGGAAACGCGTGCATTCGGAGGTCGAATCCATCCGGTCTGCACAGTAGAAAATGATTTACTTGAAATTCGCGGGGTCTGCATTCACAGCAGTGCCTGGAACTTTGAAATGATGAAGTGAACGAGAGCTAGATCCGTCGACTGTTTTCCGAAGAGCACTGGATTGTGGATACACACCTTTTACGGCCGCCCATTGATGTATACGTGCGCCATGCATTCCTTGAAGATGAGCTGGTTGATAAACAACTGGAGTCTCCCTTGAAAAGAAAGACGCGCGGAAGTGATGTGCGTGTGGAAATGCAAAGTCCGAGGAAGAGGCGTATGCCTATTGAGATGATGAAAATTTGCGGGGGAAAAAAGGTGAAGAAAAGCCTTTCTTGATTGTTAATGCATTCCGCCATACTTAGTTGTAAGGTCCATCTTTTTACGAAGTGGCATAATGTGACGATGAAGAGAACACACGCATGTCCAAGAGAAAAAGAGAGAAAGGTCCAAAAAAAGCTAGCTCTTATTAATACACTAGCGAGCTAGGAAAAGAAAATCAGGCAACAGTGTCAACAGTTTTACAGATGAAACAAGAGTCATAATTTTGCACTCAATACTCATCTTTGATCTGATATTAATATCACAGCAAATGATATTCTCCTAAATTTTTCTCAACTTTTTCAATTCAGTGTATAGAGAATATTCAACATCTCTCCTCAAATCAAAACACCTTGAATAAATGGCATCAAAGTAAGTATTAATTATTCTGTGAAGCATCACTCTAAACACACAGATAGATGAGAAAAAAAAAAAAAAAAAAAAAAGGGAGACAATATTTTGTGAACCATAGAGGTGCAAGACCTGCTGTTCATATACACTAAAATTGTTCAGCACAAATTACACGGAAGTCCACGACCTGACTATTGTACGAGGAACGGTTGACGATGGTCCAGCGGTCCTTCATCTTCTCGACATTGCAGTGAAATGGTTGGAATCGCAAGGCAGAACTGGGCAATGGGGGACAGCATTGTTTTCCGAGAATTTGCAACGAGTTGAGCAATTCAGAGAACTCGCAACAACAGGGCAAGGTCTTTGGCTCGCGGTCAATGATGCTGGTGACACTCCCATACCGGGCCAAGATCGACACTTCAATATCAACTCTCCAACCGAGAACGGCGGAGCTCCGAGGGTCATTGTAGGAGCGCTTGCTCTCGGGGAGAGAATGCCTTATGTGGCCCCTGTCTCTGAGCCTGAGCTTTATGTACGATTGTTAGTCACGGATCGACGATACGCTGGCAGCAAGATCGGCACGCGCCTTTTAGAACACGCCCGTGATGTTGCCAACAAAGCTGGAGCCTTACTGTTACGGGTGGATTGCTATGCAGGCGGCGACGGCAAATTGGTTCAATACTACGAGTCTCAGGGGTTTAAGCGATTTGAAAGTTTTAAGGTGAAAGGCGAATGGCCCTGCCAAGTGCTTGCTCAACGGTTAGATGAGGGGAGAGAAGCAGAGAGCGGTTAAATCTCTGTTTCCCACGGCATACGTTGTGACCAGAGATTAGTCAATATCAATATCAATCTTTTATATAACTAAACAAACATGCTTCGCGCTTGCTACAACCAGTTACATATGCATATATATAGTGCATCTACTAAGGTGTGACATTGGAGAAAAACATGAGTAAGGCAGATATTGCTAGATAGTGATATCAGCAATGGTATATATATTGTTAGGTATTGATATTAGTGTTTTATAACTGGAGCTTCATATTATTGCTGGATAATTATAGCTCAATAGATATCCATGCCATCGATAGATTCATATAGATAACTATTCGAGAAAACTCTGCTTAGTCATTGCGTTCCAGCCCTATATAAGGCTATGTCAGCCTTTCCTCGGTGCCAAGGAACGTGAGGGAATGAATGAAATATTCGAAAGCCGATAATTAAAATGTGTGGCAGGTCTCCTTAGCTATCTACTTAGTGATGTAATAAGATTTTCTGCCGTCTGGCAAGTATTATTACCAGGGTATTCTCAGGATATTTGACAGTCATAGCTTAGAAAACGCAGGCGCTGCACTGCAAACTCCCTTTCTAGTTTTTATTACGGGGCGCTTGGCGGGTAATCGTGCGGCTCACCACACTGTATGGTAATCAGTTTCCTATAAAGATATAAAAAGACAATAATATGCCAAATATCCTATTGAGAAGCAAAATCTAATTGAAAGAGTTAAAAAGCTTCTTTTTCTAGACACCCTCTGTGGAGATGTAAAGACTTGTGATATAAAATAGCCCGTGGCGGTACATTTCCATGAGAGAGTCACACGTAAGATAGCCCATTTCAAAGGTCGTTGCTTTTGCTGTAGTGAATGGTGAAATGGGATGCATCGACCAAGTGGCGAGGGCAGCGAAGAACACGATAGAGGATGAACAAAAAACGCTAGTTGTTTTGAAATTGAGTCAGTTCCTTGATAGAGATCGCTATTTCCAGCGTTAGAATCGTACAATCTAAAGACAAGGCAAAGTGAAAAGGAACAGGAAAACTACAGCCCGTGGATCGTGAGCTAACAACTGAAATCGTATTCGTCATTGAATTATTCAACTTCGCTGTGTAGCTATCTCTCACCCTCAAGGGTATCTTTCTGACCAGCTTGAATCCAAAGCCGATCTCTCTCCTCCCGTAAAGCTCCCCTCTCTCCCTAGTTCATATCCCTCGCAGCTATAGTGTCGGTTGACTCCAAGCTAGAAAACAGCTCCTTTGAAAGCCAAGAAAAAAAAAAAAGGTGGAAGAATTGATCACCCAGCCAACCATTCCATTCATTCAATTCAATCATCAGAGGGCGGCTTAACCTCCACCTTGCCTTTCCTCACCTCACTCCAATTCGTACTGAGCGCCGTCCCCTCGCTCTCATAGTAGCTCTTCACCATAGCCCGGCGCGTGTCAGGGTCCGCCTTGGCGTACAACTTCTTGAAAAAAGCATCAACCGGATCTCCGGTTCCGTACTCTGAAGTATCGGATTCGACACCTTCATCTTCATCGTCGACCTCTTCCTTGGCATCCTTGTCGGCGCTAGTGGATGATTCTTCTTTCTCTTTTCCCTTGGATGCCTTCTTGCTTTTCTTCGTCAAGGAGGAGGCCACTTTATCCCAATCCTTTGGGCCATTGCGGGATGAGGTGGGGTACGAGGGGGTATGGTCTGTAGATGGTGTTGTGGTGCTCGGTTGTGGTGATACCTTTGTGGCCGGTGGTATAGTAGGGCCGCTATTTCCTTTGCTGGTGGTTGTTGCTGGTTGGGATGTAGATGTAGCTTCTAGGGCGCCCCATTTTTGACCTGGCTGTTTCTTGCGAAGAATTATTTCTATTTTTGTAGACATCACAGTTGCTTTGGAGGCGGTTGAATCGACGAGTGAAAATAGGGGCTCAAGATTGAAAGAGAAGTCTGATCCAGAGGCCATAGGGAATGCTACAGAGACCTTCGAATAGTTAGCAAATTAGATTCGATATCTGTGGTGAAGATATAGCCACACGTTATACATGTACATACGGAGTCTTCCTGGATATCAATATCGGCCTTTTCTTTTGGAACGCCCTTCGCGTACAAGGTTACGACCACGGTGTCGTGCGTCTGATACCACTCATGCCGAACGCTGGTCACGACGGGAGCTTGTGGATTCACTCCAGGCGGTGTTTTCGACGTCCGCTGTTGCCCTTCTGGTGCCGTATTTCCTAACGCAGACACATTCTTCCCGTCGTTTACAGATTCTTCTTCTGCGCCCGTATTCCCCACAGCCATCCCGACATTCTCCTCCAGCTGCTTGCGGAAAATTTCCTTCAACTTCGCTTCCTCCGGCACCCTGATATCGGGGAATTCCTGAACAGTCACGCGCAACCGTTCATCATCTTTCTCCAACTTTCTCATCCAATTCCCTACCTTGATTTCCCAAATATCCAGTTCTTTACTAGTTGCAGTCGCAGAAGTAGCGCTGCCACTATTCGCCACCATCGCCGACTCCATGGTATTACAGCGCTCG